TGTCCGATCAAAAGGATAAAGAAAAGGGAGAGAATAAAGAGAAAGCGGGTAAGGGAGGCAAAGAAGATGGAGAAACAGAGCATGGAGCTGACGAAGAGTACGAGCCAGACGTGCAGTTTGCCCCTGTCATCCCGCTTCCAGATCTGGTAGACGTTGTTACCGGTGAAGAAGAGGAGGAGGTAAATATATCTTATTGCCCGTTGATCCCTTGATTTTCGGCGCTCAGGTTGTTTTCACCGCTCGCGCAAAGCTCTTCCGTTTTATCAAGGAAACTAAGGAGAACAAGGAACGCGGTGTTGGAGATTTGAAGGTCTGTTGTTTTCTATTTTTTCTTTTTTTGTAACATCAGTCAACTGCTGTAATTGAGTCTTTGACTTTCCTAAAACCCTAACAGATTTATCTAGTTCTTTTATTGCTTCTTTTTTCTATCAGTACTCATGATTTTATCAGTCGTGTTCTAGATTTTGCGTAACCCCAAGACCAAATGTCACCGTGTGGTCATGCGCCGTGAACAAGTGTATAAAGTTTGCGCGAATTTTGCCATTCTGCCATCTATTGAGCTGAACGAGAAAAAAGGAATGCCAAACGTGTACAACTGGGTCTGCCGGGTAAGACATAAACCTTTGGTTAAGCTAGATACTTCTTACTTCTTGTTTAAGGACTATTCGGAGTCACCTGAAGGCACGGATGAGATATTCACAGCTAAGTTCAAGACCGCTGAAATCGCGAAAGAGTTTCATGATAAGTTTATCGCTGCGGCTGCTGCACATCCGGTGAGAAAATCTCAGTAATTGTACTTCTAACTAATAATTTCGCTTACAGGGTGCTTCCAAGTAATGCGAGCTTCAAGTGCGTTGTATTCGCATGTGGGTCCTGTCCTGGCTCTTGTTCATGTTCATAAACTTTTGATCTGATTATTGCCTTCTTAACTATCATTTCCTGAATCGGTGTTTTGATTTACAGTCAGCATTGTGAGAGTTGTAACTTGGTGATGCAACATTGTCGTTTTGAATAAAGTTTGATTAAAACTGCGAATCGTGAAAAGAAATTGCTTACTCTTCAACGTGAAGGACGTGTCTCTTGATAATACGCCAAGGATCCTTTTTCTTTCAAATTCGTTGTTTATCTATAATCAAGATTGGTTCTATGTAGATAAAACCTCGCTTTATGCCGTGCCATTGCCACCGAAATCACATGTAAACGTTTTGAGTGAAGTATAATATAATATCTGCTCCATGACGAAGGCGCTCGCTCAAGGTTGAAAGCATGTTTATCAAATCGACGTCGTTTCTTCCTTACATTTGAGCCGCCTTGGTTTGTTCCCACAAAAAACCGACGTAAAACAAGTGAACATTAACATGAACGTGGCGCAACCTTTAGCCATGGCGCGTTAATTCTACTTTGACTATGGTTCTTGCAACTTCGTGTCCTCTCTTTCGTCTCCGAGGATGGAATGCAGCTTACTCAATTGCGCGAGGAGGGAAATTTGCAAGGGCGCTTTCCGGTATACGGGCCCCAAAGATTCAAAGTCGCATGTTCTGCTCAAACTCGGTCTATGAGGGTTATTCAACATGCTGATCGGGATTATCACATTCTTTAAGCACCAAAACGTCATTCGATCGAGGCTATGATGGATATACGGTAGGGGATCAAAATTACGGATTTGGCTGGGATTCAGGGGTGTTGCTGACGTGCTGGTCACGAATATGAAAAGGGGGTTACGGTAGGTATACTGCTGGGGTTAA